AATTTCTTAAATATCTTGTGGAAGCTCCTTCCCATGTTACAAGAGCCCTAGAGGGAAGACAGACGTGCTGATGAGGAAGCTTTGGGAATCCTGACTCTGTCAAGGCTGCCACACTCAGCAAAAGCAGACTTAGAAGCTAGACCAGGTCCTGGACCCAAAGGTCTTTCTGGAAAAACTGCTAGACATACATTAGGCAAAGAAAGCGCAAAGGGGCATATGCAGCTTCAACTGCTCTTCAAAAAGAGAGGAAGAGAAAGGATTTTCCACTGTGGAGAATATTTAATGAGACTGCGTTAAAAGAACAAAGAGAAAAGCCTTGCCTGTGCTTGGTTTTTAAAGCTACCTTCCTCATTGCTTAGAAATAGGCAGACAGGTCAAACGCAGTGGCTCATGCCTATAATCCCAGCACTTTGGGAGGCCGAGGTGGGTAGATCATGAAGTCAAGAGATCGAGACCATCCTGGCCAACATGGTGAAACCCCATCTCTACTGAAAATACAAAAATTAGCCTGGCATGGTGGTGCATGCCTGTAATCCCAGCTACTCAGGAGGCTGAGGCAGGAGAATCGCTTGAACCCCAGGAGGTGGAGGTTGCAGTGAGCCGAGATCTTGCCACTGTACTCCAGCCTAGGCAACAAGAGCAAAAGTCTGTCTGAAAAAAAAAAATAGGCAGACAGCCCAGCCCTGTACCTACGGAGAGGAACACATTCACCCCACCACCACCAAGTGCTGGTGAAATGGAGAGTCCTGGGATGAAAAGCCCATGACTAAAATCCCCCCCAGCGTACTGCCTTCTGGGTGCTCAGAGCTCTCCAAGCCTTATCTCCTCCGACCGTCACAGCACACTCGGAGCTGTGCCGCTTTACAGACGGCATCCGTGAGTTTTAGAAAAGTTAACTCACCCCTTGTCACATGGCTCTTCATCGTGGAGCCCGGCTTTGCACCCGGACAGTCTGACTGCAGAGCTGCTCCTCTGAACCCTAGAGGAGGAATGTTAAGCAGAGAGGACCTGGGGTGTGCAGTCATCGTTCCAAGGATGCAGAGAGAATGTGGAATCTCTAACCATGAGAAGCTTAACTACCACGTGGAATCACCAGCCAGGTACGCATGAAACAGTTAAGCCATAATATCAGATGGCAGGTAACAAAATGTGAACGTGAACGATAAAATGGGTCCAACCAGACACCTCAAGCCCAGGATCAACTCCTGCTATGATGCCGGTCCTCACTCAGCAAGAGCTCTGTGATGGGCCGTCTTCTGGCTCCCATCCTTCCCCACCTGCATCCATGCCTTCTGCCATGGAACTGTGCATCTTTCTTTCTAAAACAGTTGAGCCAGTTTCCTTTACTCTTGGGTCTGAAATTCAGCGATAGGATGTGTTTTGGATCATACAGCAGTTCACAGAAACACGGCCTGTGGATCCCTGAGGGTCCCCAAGCATTCTCTGGGGATCCATAATGTAAAAATTATTTTTGCAATAACACCTACATGTTACGTACCTTTTTCACTGTGTTGGTATTCTGAAATGTGTCAACATTTGGAAGATCTGCATGACGCAGTGAAGTAATACGAATTCACTCAGGGAATTAATATGACCTTTATTATTTTAAGGTATGTTTCTTCTATACTCAGTTTATTGAAGGTTTTATATCATAAAGGTATGCTGAATTTTATCGAATGCTTTTTCAGCAGCTGCTGAAATTATTTTGTCAAATGCGTTTTCTGCAATGTGAACAGAACATTAACAGAATCAAGAACATTAATAGAACTGAGAACAAAAATCATGATCATTTCAATACTTATTTATTTGCATATGTAGAATCCTTGCACCCTGGGGTGAAACCCACTTGATCATGGTGAATGATCTTTTTGATGTGCTGTTCAATTCAGTTGGCTCGTATTTTGTTGAGAATTTGTGCATCTATGTTCATCAGTGATCGTGGCCTGTAGTTTTCTTTTTTTTGTTGTATCCTTATCTGGTTTGGGTATCATGGTGATGCTAGCCTTGTAGAATGAGTTTGAAAGATGAAAAGGTTCTGTGCAAGGCCAGGCATGGTGGCTCATGCTTATAATCCCAGAGCTTTAGGAGGCCAAGGTAGGACAATCACTTGAGGCCATGAGTTCAAGACCAGCCAGGGCAACATAGTGAAACTGTCTCTCCAAAAAAAAAAAAAAAAAAAAAGTTTCTACACAGTAAACAAAACAATCAACAAAGTGAGTATACAACCTACAGAATAGGAGAAAATATTTGCCAATTCTTTATCTGACAAGGGATTAATAAGCAAAATATATGAGGAACTCAAATAGCAAAAAAACAAATAATCTGATTTTAAAATGGCCAAAAGATCTGAACAGACTTTTCTTGACAGAATACATACACATGGTCAACAGGTATATGAAAAAAATGTTCAACATCACTAATCATCAGAGAAATGTAAGTCAAAACCACAGTGAAATATCACTTCACCTCAGTCAGAATGCTTTTTCTCAAAAAGACAGGCAATAACAGATGCTGGTGAGAATGTGGAGAAAGGGGAAACCCTTGTTCACCATTGGCAGGAATGTGAATTAGCACAGCCGTGGTGGAAACCAGTATGGAGGTTCCCCAAAAAACTAAACATAGAACCACCGTATGATCCAGCAATCCCACTGTTGGGTATATATTTAAGTCTGCACTCCCATGCTTATGGCAACACTATTCACAATAGTCAAAATACAGAATCAACATAAGTGTCCATCTGTGGATGAATGGAAAAAGAAAATGAGGTATAAATACACAATGAAATATTATTATTCAGGAATAAAAAAGAACGAAATCCTGTCATTTGCAGAAACATGATCTTAAGTGAAATAAGCCAAGCACAGAAAGACAAATATCACATGTTCTCACTCATATGTGGAGGCTAAAAAAGAGAACCTCATGAAGATAGAGAGCGGATTGGTGGCTGCCAGAGGCTGGGAAGGGTAGTGGGATGGGTAGGGAAAAAGAAAGGCTGATTAAAGATATAAACCTACACATAGAAAAAATCAGACCTGGTGCTTGATAGATGAGTAGGGGTGATTACAGTTAACATTAATCGGTTGTTTTGAAATAGCTGGAAGAGAATAATGCAATAGTTCTTAGCATAAAGGAAAGATAAATATTTAAGGTAATGGATATCCCCATTACCCCAATTTGATTATGTGACTGCATCAGATTATCACATGTACCCTGAAAATATGTACATCTAATAGGTGTCAATAAAAAGTAAATAATTTTTTAAAAAGAGAATAGATGTCTGAGTTGTTTCCACCACATGGCTATCGTATACTGTTGTTATGAACGTGGGTACAAAAATCGCGATTTGAGATCCTACTTTTATTTCCTTTCGGAATATAACCAGAAGTGGCATTGCTGGATCCTGTGATAGTTCTATCTTTAATTCTCTGAGGAACAACCACACCGGTTTACATAGTGGCCCCATCATTTTACATTCTCACCAACTTTACATTAAGTTTTCAATTTCTCTACACGCTTGTCGACACTTCGGGTTTTTTTATTGTAGCCATCCTAATGGATGTCAGGTGATACTTCATTGTGGTTTTGATTTTCATTTATCTAATGTTAGTAATATTGAGAACCTTTTCATGTGCTCATTTGGCTATTTGTACATCCTCTTTGAAGAAATGTCTAGTCAAGGCCTTTGCCCACTTTTAAATTGAGTTACTTATTTTGTTGTTGTAGCTGAGATTTAAATGTTCTTTATGTATTCTGGATATTAACCCCTCAACAGATATATAATTTGCAAATATCTTCTCTCATTCTGCAGGGTGCCTTTTTACTGTGTTTACTGTGTACTTCGATACACAGAAGTTTTAAAGTATGATGTAGTCCTATTTCTCTGTTTTTGCTTTTGTCACCTGTGCCATATCCAAAAAATCATGCCAAATCAATGCATGAAGTTTTCCTCGATATTTCCTTCTAGGAATTTCATACTTTTTGGTATTATAGCTAGTTCTTTCATCCATTTTTAGTAGATTTTTGTATATAGCGTAAGGTTAGGGTCCAACTTTGTTCTTTTGCATATATATATATCTAATTTTTCCAACATAATTTGTCTTTTCCCTATTGAGCGGTCTTGGCACCCTCACCAAAGATCATTTGACCATATATGTGAGGATTTATTTCCGAGATTTATATTCTATCCCATTTTTCTATGTCTTTGTGACAATATCATGCTGTTTTAATCACTGTAGCTTTTTAATTACTGTAGTTTTGAAATCAGAAAGTGTGAGACCTCCAACATTGTTCTTTTACAAGATTGTTTTGGCTATTCGGGGTCCCTTGAGATTCCATGTGAATTTTAGAATGGATTTTCCTGTGTTTGAAAAAAGTGGGGTTTTGACAGGGATTGCATAGAATCTATAGTATTTGACATCTTGACAATATTGTCTTTCGATCCATGAACATGGGATGTCTTTTCATTTAATTGTGTCTTCTTTAACAGCTTTCCTCAACATTTTCTAGTCTTCAGTGCAGCTTTAACATTTTGTTTACAAGTCCTTCACCTCCTTGGTTAAGTTTATTCCCCAAAAGATGATTTTTTTAAAAAAGCTACTGCATCTAAGCAGGAGGGAGTTCTTCCATTTTCTCCTTTCCTTAGTCAATGTAAAGTCTAAATAACTGCCACATGGTATTTAATTGTTCCTTTTTAAGAAACCATACTTGCAGGTCAAAATAGCCTTAATAATTGTGTATTGTCAGCTTACTTCAAAGCAGCTCACTTAGATCCCAGCCCAAGACCAAGACCACTTGGGACCCAGAAGGCACATTCTCCAAAGACAACTTTCACTGCAAAGTTTAGCTGTGTGTAACTGGCAACCATTGGAGAACTGAAGATGAAGGACTGTATTTTTGTTTTGTTTTGTTTTTTTGTTTTCCAGCATGGACAATGCAGTTAGACTGAGCCCTGAGACTGCTAATTACAACAATTTCAATAAATACAAATAACTAACCCATTATGCCACCGGTCTTTGGAGCAAAATAGGAGCAATTATATTTCAAGCAAGTCAGTTCAAAGGCATGACTAACTCCTTACAAGGAGCCAAATTGTCCATGGGTGTTGAGTGGCTGTGAAACCTCACACCCCTCATCTCTGCCAAGGAGCAGGTTCAGGTGTGCACAGCTAGGTTTGGCCGCCAGCCTTCCCTCGGGAGAACAAGTGCCATAGTCCCTGGTCAGACTCCAGGCTGAGCTCAGAACATCAAAGGAAGTCATTGGTGGAGAGTGACTTGTCCTGACAGCAGCAACATCATCTCGACATCCAAGTCCTGTGCATTTTGATTGAAGCTTCCCGTCAACCCTAACGCCATCAGAGCGAGGTGTAGGCCTTGAGGAAAGCCTCCCTGTCCAGCAGGCTCACTTTTCACACAGCTGCACCTCATCCCTGAACCTCACCTGCACAGCTCGGCCAGCCCGCTGCTGCTGTGCTCCCAAAGGGGACGGGGACAGAACGTGACAGAGGCCACGGGGACTGAGCAGGCAAAGGAGTCCTTTACAATTTCTCTTCAGCATGAACCAAGTGACATCCCACAGTACAACAAAGACTTATCATGCGAGTAGCTCATGAGCACACAGAGGATGCCAACTCAGGTGTGTCCTTGCGTGAGTGCTGGGTGAGAGGAGAAGGCAGATAAGGCCTCAGCCTTCTGAGCACAAGTGGCCAGCCCTGCCAGGCAGTTGACCCAGGCAGTGGCAGCAAGCGACAGAGTTCCCTGTCCCAACCCCTCCCCCAGGGTTGCCCCAGCCCTGGGAAGCCAGCACTGGGGAGATGCTAGACCCTCATGTTGGTGCCGCTCCTCCCGTGGTCATGAAAAACAACAAGCGGACTCTGACATCCTGAGGACACACTGGAGAGCAAAACAAGAGTAATCAGCGAGATGGGCCTGAGTCCAGCCCGCAGCACAGGGCTTGCCAGGTGCTCCCTGCTGAGCCTGAGTCCAGCCAACAGCAGCTTGGAAATCAACTGATAGTTGCTGAGCTGAGAGTTATCCATGGTCCCAGGTAACCTGGAAACTACGTAGCTCAGACAAGGCATCCACAGACCTATATTGAGAGAAAAGGGGAGTCAGAAGGTATTTAACATGTTTTTAACTATTGTGATGTGAGCTCAGGTCCCAGGAGATGGCTGCCTGAAGGGTGGATCTGATGAGGATCCCACAGCCCCTTCTGCCCACGGCCCTCCGCAGCAGCCTCAGGGTCCTCTCCCCAACAAGGATCACTCCTCCTGACCAAAGGAAAGGAGGAGATGCTGACTGCAGGGTCATGCTGAAACCATGTCTCTCCCGGAAGGGGAAAGGAGGGCTGCCACAACCCTGACTCCACTTACATGTGAGTGGGGACATGCCACTTCCTGGGGTTCAAATCCTAACTCAGCTACTTACTGGCTGTGTTAGGGGATTAACGAGCTCATTCATATAAACCATTCTACGAGAGTCTGGCAGGCACGTGGCCGGCCTTAGGCCTTTGTCTGTGGTTATGACCGTTATCTTCGTTAGTCGTCACTTAGAGAGAGACGTGCAGAGCTCCCATGATGGGGTGTGGAAGACAGCACAATCAGCAAACACTGCGTTAGAATAGTCGAGGTCAGCGGCAAAGCTGGGGGTGTGCGTGAAACAGGAAGAGGCCATAGCCAAGGGGGTCTCAAAAAGGAGGAAGGGCCTGGGAAAAGTCACCATCCAGCAGGGAGCCCATGGGAACCCATGGTGGAGGGCCCTGGATGGCCCAAGTGCCTGCCGTGCCTCCTAGACCCCCGCTCCCCCCCCAGTAAGCTGTGCTGCCCTGAGGGGGTGGGACAACTCCTTGGAGCCAGGCTCCCTGGAAGGCCCAGCCATCACCCTTCCACCTAAACAGAGGCCTACAAATCACCAAGGCCTCCTTGGTCTCAAACTTTGGAGCCAGCAGGACATACAATCGTCTGTGAGCCCAGAGCAAGACCACAGCTGGCCGGAACCGTGACCGTCTCAAAATGCGACGTGAGAGACTGGCAGGGTCCTCCTTCCCCAAATCATCCATGACATCTGTAAAGACCCCACCACTACAGCTTCATCCCTGTGGATTCATTCTACCACTGTCAGGCTTCAGGGGTGCCCGCCACATGGAGGTTCAGACACTGTTGCCTAAACTCTCCAAGTTCATCTGAAGCGAGCTCATCACAGCCGCTCTAAGCCCCTGCCCTCCAACCTGTCTCTTATCTGGCGGGACACACAGTCTACGTCTCTGCAAACCTGGACCTCAACCTCAGTTCTCCTTCTCCTCTGCAGCATCCCATCCCCCTGGTTCTGCCGCTTCACCTCCTCCGTGTTTCTTGAACCTCCCCTTTCTCCCAGCCTACACTAGAGTCTGAACACCACTGGCCTGGCGGCCTCAGAGCCGCGTCCCCCAGCAGGCTCCGGAGGATGCCCTCTGCTCATCCACCCTCTGCAAAGACCCCCAAGCAGCGTCTCTGTGAGGCTGCACCCCACAAAGCTGGCATTTGTCTTGGCCCTAAATGGCCGAATATTGTCTATTTCACATGGTTCAACCCATATACTGTGGAGAGGACTCCAGAGGTCTTGTTTGGAATCCTCAGTAGCTCCACTTGCCAAGCTGCTTAGCTACCTAGCTCCAGCCTATCCTTTCACACTACCCAGCAGCACCAAACATGCAGCTTCCAGAACTCTCCCTGCGTTTCGCCTTGGCTGTGACTTGGCTGTGTAGCCCTTCTGCCTGGCGTTATCCACATATTCTCCTCTCTTTTCCCACTCATCCTTAAGACCGAGACTAGGTGTCACCTCCTCCAGAAAGCCTTCCTTGACCAGCCCTCATCCACAGTTAGTGCCCGTGCTCCTAAAGCTTCCCTGGGATTAACACTGCACTGACCACACTGGCTTCAGTGATCTGTTTTTCCTTCCACTTCTGGCTCTAGTGTAGAACTCACAGGGCAGGAACAAGGTGTTCATGTCCCCAGCACCGGGAACAGCAGCCCTTGGTTAACACATACTGAGTGACTCACAGGAAGTGTTGGCTGAAGCTCATTCACACTAGCATGTAAATGACTGATATACATCTTTTCCTGAAAACCACCCTTGCTGGGGGAGAGGAAGGGGAAACCCCAGTGCCCTGGGCAAGTGAAGTGGAGGAAGCAGCCCCACCTGGAGAGGGACAGGTCCAGGGAGTCGGGAGGCCCAGCGTCAACCCTGGTTGTGAAGGTGGGCTCCGTTCTGCACGTCTCCCAAATGGCTTGGGTGGAGGGAATCGTGGTTCCTATTTGAACAAGTGAGAGGCCCTTAAGGCAGTTTCTAGATGGAAAACTTCTCAAAGGGACTGGGAAGCGTGGGCAGCTCGGGAATCGGAGCATCTGAGCACAGAAACAGCTGAGCAGGTGAACTCCAACTGCCTCTGCTCCGAGCGGCTGCTTCCCAGCAAACCGCAGTCCTGCCCCCACGCCCACGCACACTGCGGATTGGCACTTCACACAGACTAATTAACAAATAGCAGGGCGATTAAATCACGCAGCCCATGGTATTTTCCTAACTCCTCTCAGTGGCGGCAGAGCATGAAAGTGAAATCAGGAGCTCTCCCCAGAGGCCTCGCTGCCGACCGCAGGCCAGTCTTCAGAAGGAGCAGCAGCCACCAAAGAGGCACAGCCCTCATGCACTCCGGAGACCATGGACAGCTGCCTCCATGGCCATGTCCTGCCCTGTCTCTCCTCCTAGTCCTGGGCTGGGCTCTGGCACCCCAGGAGTAGAGAGCAGGTCCTGGTCACTGGCTTTCCGTGCTTTCTGTCCCTGGGTCTTGCCCCTTGTGCGGAGCTGCTGGCTGCCCCACTCAGCTCCCACCCACCTCCTCTCAGGGCACAGCTGCTCCAAAGCCGCCCCTCTCCTTCCTCCCCTTGGCTCCAGGCACGGGCGCTGGGCCCCGCCTGGACACTCACGCATTCGGTTGTCTTCTCTCCTGCTGGTCAAGCACCCCTTTCTGCTAGGGTTCAACTCCTCTAGGCTCTGTCCTCCTCTCTTTACACGGCAAACCGAGGACCCAGCTGCCCCTTGTTCAAATGCCAGGTGAGGGCTCCCAGCCAGCAGTCCAGACAGAACACTCCAGATGCTCCGTGACACTCAGACAGATCCTTGCAGAAGAGAGACTTTCTAGAGCCTGGACAATTCCATAAATGGCCGTAAGGACCTTGCTGTAAGGACTGTGCTCTGGGAAACTGGGTTTTCCCTCTATGAGTTAGAATTCCATGACAACACGGCCCCCAAAACACAGATGCTGTTTACCTCTGTTCATACAGCCAAGCTCATTAAAATTCATTAAAGCCACCGACTATCATTCTACTGAAAATCATTTATAACAAATGAGACTTACAACAGAGTTTGGTGTTGCATAGTATTCAATTTGATCAAATCAGTCAAGACATAGAAAGCTCCCATAATGAGAAGAAAGAGGGTGATGTAGAAATATAAAGGGGTAAAATGATGGCACGATGGCTAGAGTGCAGAGTGCACAGAAACCAGAATTCACCTTCCTCAAGGCTAGCTCAGGGCAGGATCCTAACACACACACACACACACACACACACACATGCTCAGGCATGCACGCACATGTGCACGCACATGTACACACACATGCACACGTGTGCACATGCATGTACCTAAGCACACAGTGGCTTCACATTACTGCTCGATCACTCCTTTCTGACATGCAAACGCTACTTTGCACTTTTCACCCTCTCCCCAACTAGGAATTCCTGCATACTTATCCCCAGAAGTTAGAATTCACATGGCAGATAATAGAATTTCTGCCAATTAGTTCACTTATTTAACAAGGTAGGCTCTTTGTCTTCTGGAAATGGTCATCTGTAGGTTATCATAACATTTCACGTGGGCTTCCTCCAGGGAACAGGAAGGAACAAGGACAGTCAGCAACTGTTTTGAGAGCATTGCCTTGCTGGTTTAAATGCTCCAGCAAGTGTTTGCAGTGGGACCAACAGCAGGTAGAGACACCGGTGGAGTGTGCTGGGGGTGGGAGGGAGTGCCTGGGAAGGTAAAAAGGAATGGAAAGAAAGAAAGGGACCATCCCAGAGAGGAGCAGTGTGATCTTGATAACTTCAATGCCTGTCAGCCAAACATTCAGGATTTATTTCTACCCAAATTATCCTAAAAGAGGCAACGGCCTCATTCAGTGCGATGGAGAAATGGGCTCTAGCTCCTAGATGAGAATGGCGACCAGCCTCTGCGGATGGACAGGAGAGCTGCCAGAGAGAGCCAGGGCCATCCTGGTGGCGGTCGCAAGTCTCACCCCAACCCGCTCCAAACCCACCCCGGAGGCAGGTGCTACCAACGCTGTGTAAAGCACCTGCTGAGGTCTGGGAGAGGCCACGCCCATAATCACAGCAGGGAGTTCGTTGTGCTTTTGAGAGTCAGCCCATTACTCCTGCTGAGACGCCAGCATCTGTGTGTGCCAAGAACGCTGTGACTAAGGGCTATTAACTGGGTGGCCCTAGTTCACTGGAGAAATTGCCTGACTCTCAAGAAGTTCCCTATCTCGTTCCTTTCTGAAGGGTAAGTGTAATGTAGACCTAGGTCATCGTTTGTATTAGAAGACACGTTGGCCGCTTCACTGAGTCAGGCTTTCACTGAAACATAATCGCTACTCACCTCCCAAAACAGAAACTGTATTGCACTACACTATTCCATATTATACTCTGTGGTGCTGTGCTATACTGTGTAATATCATACTGGACTACACTATATTATGCTGTACTATACTACACTATGTTATACTATACTATACAGTACGACATTATACTGTGTGCACTACACTGTCCTCTGCTGCACTACACTATGCTATACAACACTATACTATACAATGCCACACTATACTAAACTACACCACGCCATACTGTATTATACTGTACCACACTATATTATGCTACAACACACTACACTATGCTACACTATGCCATATTATACTATACCATACTATATTACACTACATGGTAATATATATATGGTTCACTATTATGGTTATATGGTTCACTATGCTATACTATACCACACTATATTATGCTACAACACACTACACTATGCTACACTATGCCATATTATACTATACCATACTATATTACACTACACTACAATATGGTTCACTATGCTATACTATACCACACTATATTATATATATATATATATATAGCTACGCTATACTATACAATGTTATATTTTACCATACTGTACTATGTTACACTACACTACACTATGCTATGTTATGCTATATTATACTATACCACACTATATTACATTACACTACACCACACTATGCTACACAATGCTGTATTATACTCTACTGTACCATAATATATTACACTACACCACACTATGCTACCGTATGCTACATTATACTGTACCATGCTGTATTATACTATACCCCACTATCCTACACTATGCTATATTATACTATACGAGCCTATATGCTACACAACAATACACTATGCTACACTATACTTTTTATGCTGTGCTATACTATGCTACACAATGCTAAACTATACTATACAATGCTGTCTTACACTATACTGTACTATATTATGCTATACTGTGCTACGCTATACTAGATTACATTATACCACACCATATTATGCTACATGATACTACACTATGCTGTGCTTTACTTTACCACATTATATTATGCTACACTATACTACACTGTGCTGCACTATGCTGTATTATACTATCTTATACCATACTGTAGCATATTATTCTACACTATACTGCGCTATGCTGTATTATACTATATTATACCATACTGTAGTATGTTATTCTACACTATACTGCTCTATGCTGTATTATGCTATCTTACACTATACTGTAGTATGTTATTCTACACTATACTACAGCCTATGCTGTATTATACTATCTTATACCATACTGTAGTATGTTATTCTACACTATACTGCGCTATGCTGTATTATGCTATCTTATACCATACTGCAGTATATTATTCTACACTATGCTGCGCTATGCTGTGTGCTATCTTATACCATACTGTGGTATGTTATTCTGCTATGCTGCGCTATGCTGTATTATACTATCTTATACCATACTGTAGTATGTTATTCTACCTATACTAAGCTATGCTGTATTATACTATCTTATACCATCCTGTAGTATATTATTCCTACACTATATGTGCTATGCTGTATTACACTATCTTATAAAACACTGTAGTATATTATTCTATACCATACTGCGCTATGCTATATTACACTATCTTATACCATACTGTGTACATATTGTTTCTATCACCATACTACGCTATGCTATATTACACTATCTTCATATACCATACTGTAGTATATGATACTATATACACTATCTTATACCATACTGTAGTATATTATTCTACACTATACTGCACTATGCTGTGCTACACTATATTATACTGTACCTCACTATATTATGCTGCACTATACTACACTATGCTATGTTATACTATACCACACTATGTTATGCTACACTATACCATACAATGCTTATACTATACTGTACTATATTATGCTACACTATGCTACGCTATGCTACATTATACTATACCACAGTATATTACCTTAAATGATACTACACTATTCTACACTATACTATACAATGCTATCTTA